TATATATAATATTATATCAAGAGTACATAATGGGAGAATGGGTTTACCCAAATGTTTGCATCTTATCGGCCAATGTTTGTTATCGGATTAGTGTTCTATTGTCTGTGACGGGATTTTGGGGGCTGTTGGGGATATTAGGCATCGAATTATATTCAGTGTGTAATGCGTTTCCAGCGTGCTAGAAATAAATGTGTGCTCACAGCGAGCTAGCAGCTGATTTTAGCGGTGTTGCCATCGTGTTCCTGATGATAAGTAAAGCGAAACATGTGCTGTTACTGTGCTTACCTAATATCCCCAACAGCCCCCAGCGTCCCGTAATTACAACCTGGTGTTGCCGCCGCATATCAACATTCGCCGAATAGATGCAAACATTTGGGAAAACTGTGTGAAACCGTGTCGTATTCAAATAACTTTTTTGAAGAACACATACGATTTTTATGTAAACTGGTTGTGTCATATGATTAAAGGAGAATCCGCGACGAAAACAAGGTAAAGTTTGAATATATTTATTCACATATTGATAGAATAAATTCAAGTTGAAAACTTCGCAAAACACTGCTAAAACAGTGTCATACTCTTCTCCCATTTTGTACTCTTGATATATATATATATATAAATGCTGAAATTAAAATGCTCGGGTAATTTATTAGGCTGCATTACTGCTAGAATCTCTTAAATCTGTTTAAAATTTCTCTGTGCCTGACAGGCTGTTACAGACTGCATGTAATTACATATCCATAGACATAGACATTGAACATTAATACTCCACCTATACTAATACTACCACTATACTACATATACTTGGAGGGTAAATGTACTCCTGACAGTTGCCAAGTATCAGGTTAGCATCCTTATCTGTGCACAAGAATGATCCTATCAGCGATCGTCCATCTGACATCTTGATTTTCATTGTCTTGTTTAGAAAGCTCTCCAGCACTGTTCGTAGCTCAGATTTCTCAATCTAAAATAAAAAATTAAAGTGCAGCTTTTAAATCGGTATTCTCAATTCCTGGTTTTACTCCACTTTCGATTATAAGTACCCCTCGATGAGGAAAACCGCAGTGACTCGGCGGTGTTGGCTCAGTACACGTAATCACCCGGGGGGCACTCCTGATATATTGCATGGTAGGTATGTTCCGCGAGAGAGACCCTATTTTCAACCCTAAACTTTCGTTCCAGTGCATTGCATTTTTAAGAATATCTCGTTCCAGATGAGATACTAAGACGGGATACTAGAGAAGCGTTGCCGAAAGGAGATGTTGATCCGAAGCGCTGAGCGCAGATCTTGCGCGCAG